CCTTTATAATTTGTAATTCCGGCCGGAGTTAAAATATAAACTTCGTAAATCTGTTCGGGATCTTAATTTTGCTCATATTCTGGTAATGGATGCAATGCTGGCCAGAATTATATGATCGGCGTAAAAATATCCTTTTTTGGAATACTTGTGAAACCAAAATCTCTCGATTTTTGCGGGAAGCAAAATTTCCTTTTTTGGAAATTTGTGTAACGTCACGTGATAATTGACCAATGAGATTATTTGGGATAAGGGATGGGATAAAGGATATGGGATATGGGATATGGGTGGGATTGGGATTTGGGATTGGGATGGGATAGAGGATTCTCCCATCCCATTTAATATGGGTGGCAAGTATAACTCGTACTATTGTTACGATAAAAAAATTATGTTTCGAAATCACGTGATAAAACGGCTGATCAATGAATAACCGGGATGATTATCGTCACAATCGTCACATAACGGGAAGATCAATGTTCGAGTATTAAATATATTAAATAAAATAAATATGACACATATGGCACATTTCAAACATTTTAAACATTTTTAGTTTAGTGTTTTTGCATATATATAGACGCGTTTATTTTTGATGTATATTAGACAGATACCAAGATACCAAGTGATATTACCAATATTAATAAAAAACGATTTGATAAATAAAGATTTATTAATAGTTTGTTGGTTATCTCATTGTTATTTGTTGTCATATACACTTAACCTGTTATTTTGTTGTCATAATCCTTTATTTGTGTCTGATTGTATATATTATTTGGAGAGCAATACTTTATTCACATCTGATCGGATTTGAAGTTAATTTGGTCAATTGTAATTTAAAGTTAAATTGTGTTTATTTAACCTTGCGTTAATAATCGTTATATTTAATTACACACATAAACTTTTGCCTACCCTAATTAATTTTTCGTTTATATTTATAAACATTAAAGAACTAATAAAAACACTATATTTGATTGACTTAAGGAAAGTTAACAAAGGCAATGAAAGAATAAATTAGAGGAAAGTCAACAAAGTAATGAAAAAAATGAAAAAAGAATTTGTCATAAAATTTTTCAAACTCAACTGCGCCACCCATTAATATTATGTGAGCACATCACTGATATAATCACATGATTAATAGTAATGAGTCTCTGCTGACAATTTTTTATAGTGACTATAACAAAATTCGTAATTACATTATATTTCATTTATTCACTCTTACCTTTCTCTCACTTCCCTTCCTTTCTTTTTCTCTCGTTCTCCCCTTTCTTTCTTATTCTTTCCGTTCCTTCACTTCTCTCTCACTCATTATTTCCAGTGAAGTAACCAAATAAACTTATCTTTCTCTTCTTTTATTCCACATTGTAGTTTTTATAATTTATTATCTATATTTATGATATATTGCTGAGTTAATATTTTCTTCCTCACACACACTCCTTTCCCTTGAGCTAGCTGGAGTTTAAATCTTCTCTCACATGGCAGGACCATGATACCTTGTTATAATGAAATATAACTTCCGTTTATAATTGAAATTTGAAATTTCGGAAAGATTTACACCGCATAGGTTTCTAAAAAAGGAAGTTTGGGAATACAAATATGTCGATAATTTCTTTTTAATGCGGCGTAGATCTTTTCTTTTTACATTTAGAACATTTTCAAAATTCGATTTTTTTTATTTTCGAAATTTTGACGCCTTTTTTTCAAACGATAAACAATAAAAATCACACGGAGTAGTGATCATGAAATTATCTTCCTTAAATAAATTCAGGTTAGGTGAAACAGTATTTATGAAGATCTTTGCAATTTTAGTAATTTTAGTTCAAATATTTCCTAAAAATTCTATCAACTAAATGATTTTCAACGTAGATCATAATGGCTCGTCACTAAGTAATGATTATCCAGTTCTAATTATCTCCTTTTTTTAGTTCCTTGTCGAGGATTACCTATGCGTAATTATTTTAAATGTATAGAATATCACGGCTATTTGCATAAATTAATTTTGACAAAAACTATTTATTTAATTTAACTTCAAATTCAACTTTGATTTTAAGTAAGAATGGCAAATGTTATATGACGTCATTATTTGGAATCGACTAAGTGGAAAGATCTTTTTTCCCAAAGACTGCATATCAAAAGTTTACAGCTTACATCATTGTGTGTTTAAAATCTGTCATTAGTATTTGAATGATACATGATTAATAAGATATTCGGCTGTTGGTATTTTTATCATTATCAAGATCCAAACATCTTTCCATTATTTTAAAAAATCTCTTCTCTGTATAAAAATCAAAAATAGTAGTAAGTACCCATAAATATTGTATTGTCAACTTGATCTATACTGTTAAAAGCCACATAAAAGTAAAGTATCACTATTATGAATTTCATGTGCAATAAATTATCAAGGTTTATGGCTTTATGCTGTACATAAACGGTATAGTTAGTATAGTTATAAATATCTTTATATCTAATGTAATTAACTGAATTGATTCCATTAGAAAAGTACCAAATGTAGAAATTGTTTATATGGAATGATTTATATGAAATCGACCAACTTTTTTCGTTTATCATCCAATATGACTAAGATAATGATTATCTTTTTATTTCAACAAAAACGGATTTATGTATTATAAATGCACGCCTCTCTTTTAACCTGATTTTTGCAAATAATAACATGTTAATCTGAGAATTTTCAATTAAAATCATTATACAGTTTATGCGAATAATTCATGCATTTGTTCTCCTCTTAATAAAATTTCTAATTATGGCTAAATCATATTGATTATGATAATTGTAGCTGACTTTTTGTACGTTGTTTTCTTGCTTCAATTTCTATTTTTAATTTTTCTTTTTTTTTTTTTGACGGAAACTTTTATAGTATTGATTTCTATAACATCCTGAATAAATATAAATATTCATCAAATTTTCTCATTCCTAAACATCCACCTTTTTGTTATTCCAAAATATTCCATTTATAAAAATAATTTTTAATCAAAAATGAAATTTCTTATTTTTTTCGTTGCCTTATTAATTGTCAATGTTAACGCTAAATTAACGTGTGAAGAACGTTTTGGTGTTTCCCATTGTAATGAATGTCAAAATGAAGTCTGGGATTATGGAAGAGATCCTTTAGGATGTGGTTTCTTCAGTAGCTTATTTAGTGAAATAGAATATAGTTCATTTTTTTTAAAGTATAATTTAACTGTCTATAATGAAATCGTTAAAAACTCATGTTCAGCTGACTTCTCATGCAGTTACGATGAGGGTAAAAAAATGTGGAAAAAAATTGAGGAAAAATGTGCCAATGAATTAACAATTTACATTGATTGGAGCGCAAATCCTTCGTTACTTGATCATACTGTTGTCTCCTCTTACGCTACTATATTTTCCTATTATTCTGCCGTACCTGAACATAATTCTATATGTCATAAAACCTCGAGTGGTGGTAAGTTCAAAATTTACAATTTAATAAATTTGTTTTTTTTTTTAAAAAAAAAAGGTATTATTTATTTAAAAATTTAATATAATTTTAGAATTATGCGGTATTGAAGTTATTAAACCATTAGTTGATTGGTTAAAGCAAGAAATTCCTGAAGGAAATGTACAATTTTCATATAATCAACAATACGTTTATAAGAAAGATGGAACTCGTATTCAAGTTCCTATGGAATTGATGGGTCATTGTGGGGAATGTGGCAAGAATATGATTAAAGAATATAAAACTTGGATGGATAAATTTGCAGTACCGGACGTGATTTTAAAAAATGTCTTTGATAATGATTTAGAAGCACTTCAAGGTCGCTTTTCTTGCCCATTAATATTCTAATTTCATTATTTTATCATATGTAAGGTACAATGTATAATATATATATTTTGGTAAAAGTTTGTTAACAATGTTTGAGCGTTGACTAAAAAAAACAGAATAAATAGTATCACATGATTTAATTGTTAAAAATTTCTCACGTTCAGTTCATAGACAATTGATGATGTAATAGTACTTTATTATTTAATAAATCGTTATAAATCTTCTTGAGTATGGTATTCAACTAATTCAAGAATTTATTTTCGCTGCACGCAATCTAAATGTGTAGAACACGTGACAAAATGATCTTGCTGCGCCAAAAATGTAGCGCATGACTTGCGCATTATCATTACTATCAGGAGTTTTAACGTATAACCAGTCAAACGTGGTTTCATTATAAAGTGTGACGCTAGATATTAATTTTTGAATTAGTTGGCCGTGCTTTTGCTGCGCCACGTTATTAAGAATTTTGATTTTACTATAAAAGATTTATCAAAATACCGTGAATACTGAAGCAAAAAGTGTTTCGGCTTTAAAGTTTATTAAATATAAAAATAAATATTTTATACATCCTATTTTTATGTTTTGTAAGTAATATTAATATCCAATTATCGTTATACATGTTTAATGATATCTCTTAAATAATAAAGTATCGCATAGCGTACATGAAAAATACAAAAAAAAAATAAAATAAATTATATACAAAGTATATTTATTCCTAAGATTCATATTTCATCATTTTCGTTTACACTTAACGGCCTTGGAGAGAAAACTTTTATTAAGTGGATTTAATTTTTAATGTGCTTTCCTATTTTTTTAAATTAAAAATATATAATTAAATAAATATAAACTCAATATTGATAACATATAGTCAAATTAATATATACCACTATTTCCATAAGAATTGATTTCTAATTCTTCAATATTTCTCTTTGTTCCGAGTATGTTTGAGCTAATAGTATTCAAATCGTTTGAATTTAAGTTATGTAATGATGGACCAAAAATTTTAAACCTTAAATACCTTTTAATATCTATGTCAAACTCTAGTTCTATTGAATTATAATCTATAAAAGAAAATTTGATATATTAATCTAAGGACTTAATCACATCTATTTTACCTATTATTGCATACCTTTTGAATTTGAAAAAATTGATGAACAACTAGAAATAAAAGATTTTAATGATCTGCTTGTATAGATAGCACTTGGATGAGTTTTTCCATTAAACTTAAAACCAAGTTTCTTCAATTTTATTAACTCTTTTCTTTTTATTTCAGCTTGTTTGAATATTCCTATACTTTTATTTTTAAAAAACCATTTACCAAAAGTTTTACGAATTTCCGTTATAAGTGGTCTTTTTGTGGGATCAGAATCCCAACATCTTTTCATTAATTTTGCGTAACATTCAGGTGTATCTTTTGTAATTTCGGGACGTTCTCCATCAAGAATTTTATAAATCAGATTAATATCATGCCCAACATTAGCAAAAGGTTTACAACCCGTTGTAAGTTCCCACATAATCATACCCATGCAGTAAATATCAGATTCTTTAGAAAATGCAGACCCTTTAAATATTTCTGGTGCAACATATGGTATCACTCCATATATTTCATTGTTTGATTGTGCACTTACAGGTTGTGATAATCCTAGATCTCCAATTTGCCATTGATGTCTTTTTCCATTTGATAAATTGGATAATATGTTTCCACTATGAAAATCTCGATGTATAAATTCTGAATTATGAATAGTTTCAAGTCTAAAATAAGAAAATTAATCAATATATTAGAAATTATTATAAATAAATACAATGAGAATACTAATATAAATACCCTTCTGAAATTTGCCATAAAATAGCTAATTTTTGTTTATCCCATGTAATTTCTGTAAATTTCTCTCGTAAAATATTATGTAAATCTCCTTCTGATGCATATTGCATAACTAAGATATAATCACCAAATTTAGGATCTTTTGTAAAACCATACGTTTTAACAATATGATGCTTAACTTGATAGCAATATTGATTTGATTTTAACTATAATTTTGAGAGTAAAAAGGTTAAAATCAAACTATTTTATTTTGTGATCATAATAAATAATTTAAATACAATTTACTGTATTTACCTCATTTAAAAAATATTTACTAATTCCTTGAGAATTATTAAATTTTTTTAATATGACAGTTTCATTATTTCTTCTCTTCCTTGACTTTACATGATGAACTTCAATATTATTAATATTATTTATTGAACCATCTAACCAAGTCGCTTGATATATAATACCAAATCCTCCCTTTGCTATTTCTTTTACATTTGTAAATTGAGAATATGGTATCCATTCCATCAATATTTCTGCCTTATTATTACGAAAAGTACTATAAATTGTATTAAATAAGAATTCTGGAGTATAATATTTGTCAATATTTTTTATCTCGTCAGTAAATTTAGTTATTTCCAATCGATTGTGAATTTCAAGTCTTAAATTAACAAAAAAATCATCTAAATCGCTATTTCCGCTTCTATCAAAAATTATTGATGATACTCTTTTACACTTTTTACATTGTGATTGATTTGTAACGCCAAAAATAACATTTGTTGTTAAACAATATCTACATCCAGTATAAAATATAAGACAATTTCCACAATACTTTTGACAATCTGATGTAAATTTTAATTCTAAATAACAAGCTTTACAATAAGGTAACCTATGCCACCATGGTAAGTAAATAATTGGTATAGGTTTTTTAGTCAAAGTTGATTCTGTATATTCGGAAGAAATTAGATAACAATCTGAACATAATGTAAAATTGTCAAAATCGTTACATGTTTTATGGAATGCCTTTCCACATAATTTACAATTTTTTTCACTATTAATCACATTATTGATTAAATTATCATCCTTATTTCCATAATAACTACCGATTATTTGTTTAAAGCATAATATTTCTAAGCAATTTCTACAGCATTCTTGAATATTTTGTGGTTCTTTTGTCATACTTATTTCATGCTCATTACATTCTAAGTTCCTTGTAAATATATACACATCTAAATATATATTTTTATCAGTTATATTAGTAAGGTAACATAATAAACATTTTTTGCAGTATTTTTGATATTTGATTGATGTCCCAGTATAAATATCACCGCAACGAATACAATTTGAATCATAATAATTTAATGGAATAAATGAAATCGGCACAGGACTAGATTTTAATTTTGGCGTCGGATCAAAAGAATCATCATTTGTAAGCTCCATTTTATCATATTATATATAAGTAAGTACTGATAAATAATTGGAAATTTTCACAACATATATATAGTTTTTTTCGACGATTCATTATTTCGGAAATTTAAAAGATAGAACTTTCTAAAAAGTATTTCTATGGAATTTCAGAAAGTTCGTATGTTATTTGGAAGTACTTTATCGAAGGGTAAACCCGTTAGCCTTGTGATAATCACTTAATTAGTAAATACGTTACCCGTCTTAAAATTTAATGTAACTATTTTATTTATGTTTTTACAAAACCATTTGACTAAACAAGGTTAAATGTTATATTCTAAATTAGTAACTATCGACAGTCACGAGGAATGGCGCAAACAAATGACCTGTTATGTTGATGTCGATCATTTATGATTTTTCGATTCCACAAGTGTGTAACTTTTCTAATTTTTTTATTCGTACCAAATGTTCTTCAGTTTATTACTTTATAAACTTTAAACGTTAACGTTCCAGTCAGTTTAAGAAGATCTCGCTATTAAGGTTATCATTATTTATAAATAGGATAATAAGACTTTTTTTAAAACTTTTTTTATATGTAAAATTTTTTTGGAATATTTGTTATTTTCTGAATTCTTCCTGTATGATAATTGTAAAATGTATTTGAATCATCATTCCCAAATATATTTCCGGTTAAGTTATTAAAGTGAAACAAAATGATTCATAATTTATTTTTCAAACAATAATGATACTGAACTTGAGTAGAAAAGAAGTGAAGGGAAGGAAAATGAAACAAAATCTTGCAATTGAGATCACTATAACTGTAGAACATTGTGTAACTCAATATATTTAAGATCAATAGCTTATAACATATTGACGTTTAATTGAGTTTATTAGACATAATTTAATTACGGAACATTATATAAGGTTGAAAAAAGTTATCGGCCTTCTATAAATAGGTTTTTTTTTTCAAAAAAAATAAATAAATAAATAAATAAAAATAAATAAAATAATAATATTCCTATTCAAAAATTTGCTGATGTGGTAAAAGCGGAACATTTTCGATAATTTCCAGAAATTTCTTATGTAAGATTCAATGCCACTACACGGAATTCGGACTAAGTTTGAAAAATCCGTCTAGACCACATGATGTTGGAAAGAAATAAGATGAACGTGGAAGCAAATCCATCATAGAATAAAAATTTATAAGATTATTATAATGAAAATAACTATAGTTATCAAGAAAAGTGACTATGATAAATATTTAACTCACCTAGTTAGGACCTCTACCTATTTGCCAAAATCTGAAACATCGTTTGTTTATGCCATATCGCAGCGTACTTGGATTTAAATTTCTTGTTTTTTAAAAAAATGATCGATGATTATTAATAAGAAATATTTTGTAAGCAATGTTATATACTAGGAAAAAGGAAACCGTGGGAGAGTCCGAAGCAATAAAAGTATCACAAAAAAAGAAGTATTACTAGTTGAGGACGATAATCAGGATCACTTTTTTTAAAAAAAAGTTTATTTAATTCGAATTAACGACTTTCACTTTGGGGAATCATGGAGGTCAAACTGAACGCTTCTCTTCGGCTATTTTCTCATGTAACCTACACGGGGTGTTCATACATATATCACGTGACTTTATTAAAAAGTTATGTAAAAATAAATTTTAATAAATATAATTTTAAAGAAACACGCGGTATGTGTATTTTTGTCTGTTCTGTAAGTTTACTTAAAGCGTCAAAGTTGATTTGAATGTCAATTTTGATTTATTTAACAAATTCTTTTTTTTCCTATTTTTTCGTTAAATTAATTCTGCCCAACATTAAATGATCAGCATAGAAAATTTACTTTTTTGGAAACCCGTGTTTGAACACTCCCACTCCGTGTACGAATAGAAATTGTCTATAAAATAATAGTTTTATTATTTAAGATGAATTGCTGTGTAAATTTTTTCTTTATATTTTTAGTCTATTAACAAATTTTTTAATTAAAATTTCTGATTAGATTGGATTTTTTGTGACTTGCTAAGGTGTTGAGCGATCAGCTGATCGTTGGCATAAGCCGCGAAGGCTTGCAGCTAAATTTTGTGGAAAATTATGGTACTGTGCAGGTATGAATAAAGAGATTATCATTATCACCTTTGTAACTATATTTAAACAAACTTTTATTATTAATAAAATTATATATATATAATATAACTGTGTAAGTTACCTTGCATTGTAGAAGTGGCATTGCATAATTTCTGATAAATATTTCATGATCCACATACCACCAATAATATCTTAATCTTGTAGCTTGTGTGGCTTTCTATTGCCGTCCGTCAAGTACATGGTGATGTACAACAATCAAACAAAACATCTAATTCTAAGCAACAATTTGGGCTTATAATAATTTCCGTTTCCTTGTTACTATAGACTATAACATGTATAAATATCTATCTCACATTTTTATTAATTAATCTTGATAATCTTTTTATCAAGAATAATAATAATGTCCAAATTATTAATCTTTGACCTCTTATATCATATTGTTAAAGAGTCGCATAATGATAGAAAGACTCTTCTTTCTTGCCTCTTAGTTAATAAAATTTGGTGTGAGATTGCTATCCATCCTATGGAGAAATCCTTGGATAATTTAAGTTTGTCAAATGAGAGATTTCTACTGAATTTACTTATTTTACATTTATCAGTTGAATCATGAAATAATTTAGATATTTATTTTTCATTTGATTCATACAAGAAACCTTTATTTAATTATATTAGTTTTTGTAAGCATTTAGATTTAGGTAGAATCAATGAGTTAGTTGTACGTTCTGGCGGGAATGTTTATTATTACAATGATATACCTTGGAACTTTAACCATCCAATACATCTTTTACCTGGATTCAAGTTTTTCCTATCAGATATTGAATTTCTCAGTTGCAGCACTAGTTTAGAACTTTAGATAAGAGTATTCTATCGATTAATAGGGATGTGTAAATATATTAGAGAATTGGAACTTCATATTAGTAAGAAAGACAACAATCATGGATTTATTAGGTTAATTGAACTTAACAGACTATTTAATATTAGTCTTTCAACAACAAGTTATTTTAGTGGAATGCATGACGAAGAATTTATTGAAACTCTTGAGTTAACTCTAATAAAATATGCAAGAACAATACAAAGTTTCAGTTTGACTACTAGTAGACCACCTAATACCACCGATTTCCTATCACACTTATTTAATTTAACAAGTTTGAAATCAAATGGCGAATTTTGTGTTAAGAATGGAATTGCTTTGAACACAAAAGAAAAAATTTAACTTAGTAATGAAGTATACAGAAACGAGAATTTTAATGTGAGATTAATAGAAATGAAAAATAATTTAGTATAGAGAATTGTTTAATTGAAATTAAATCATATAAATTTAATCAATTAATTAAAAAGAATATTGTGTTTAAGTTCCACGTTTTTAAAGGTAATGCATTACCACATATATATGTAATTAATTGTAGGAGTGAATGTAATAGTAACAAATGTCGCTGTGAGAAGGCAGGTGGAAATTTAGCAGTAGATTTTATAGTAAGCATTCGTGCCAAAATAAATGATTTTGATGATAGCATATGACAATTATTATGTTAAAAATGCATTGTTACTAATGCATTATGAATGAAATTAATAAAGGAATTGAATTTAAAGCAACTCTTTAGTAGTATTAATTGATTTTATTTATTGATAGAAGATATATTATTTAATTTTTCAAAATATTTATAAATTTTTACTCATTCTACTCTTAAATTATCCCATACTTTTGCTTTACAAAGAAATCTAAGTAATTCATTCCTATAATGAAAAGGAAAAGGGGATGGTAAGTAACGTTCCTAACGAAAAATACAAAAAAAAAGATAAAGATCCACCCACCTCAAAGAAGATGAAATTGCTGTTTCAAAAGTTGGTTCTATCCGGTTCCTTTTTGATCAGCAGATGCTTGATAAAGTTTTTGAAGATTTCCCATATATTATATTCTAACGAAACTCTTTCATTTGAAGCACTTTATTATTATGAAGTAGATGAATGACATAACAGAAAAAAGGTGTAAGATGTACTATTTCTCATTTACGTTATACTTTCGATATGAATATTTGTATATAGTTATTATTCCAAAAATATAGAAATGTTGGTGGAATACTAAGCTTTATCGCAAAAAGTTCAAATACTCAACTTTATGTTGTATATAGTATATATATAATTGTGGTAAACATTTTTTATTTGTAACTTATAATACGATTCTTATAGCGAATTTTTCCAAAAATTGGTTCTTAATTACAAAAATACAAACTTCAAACTTAATATTACATACAACGCAAAGAAATAATACAAATATTTTACATATTTAATAAATATAAACATATAGGTTATGACTGAGCTATTTTACCTTAAATTTAATAGTATATATTTCTTCCAGAATCACACCTAAATTCTTTAATTACTCCATTTTCTTTGTATTTATCGATCAATCTCATATAGTCATCTCCCTTATATATAGGATCAGATGTAAGTATAGTAAGTGCAGGCCGGTCCTTCCAATTTTTAAAGAATGTCTCCAAATTTTTCGAAGAAAATTGAAATTCTTTAAAAAATCTAATTTCTCTTAGGTTTGTTGGTGCTGACCTAATTAATATTTTTACTAATTCTTCTCCGGTTTCTTCTTTATTAATAGTTGGTATACTTAATAATAATGATTTCAAAGTTTGACAACTTTTTAATAACGTTTCAAATTCAATGAAATGATCCGTTGTTGATGGAAATAGTAATGACAAACTTTCAATTGAAGGACAATGTTGATGGATTTTACGAATAAAATTAAGAGAATCTTCACCAAGGTTATCATACCAATATCCGTAATCAGTATATCTTAATAAAATTTCTCTGAGATGTCCTCCACTATTTTCAATTATAACAGAAGCTTCATTTAACGAAGTGAAATCAATATTAAAGGTCTCAAGTTCATGATACACCAACATTTTTAATTGGTTTTCAGAAAAATAAATATAAGTATTACTAATTATTAACGTTTTTAATTTATGAAATTTTGTGAGTACGTCTTGTATAATTGTGTGTTCATAATAATGATCAGTAAAATCAAAGAACATTATTAAATGATTGAGAGCATCAGCTTTTTTTGCTAATGCAAGAAAAATTTCCTTATAAGGATCTTCTATAAAATCTTCATCGTCAAAATCATCCTTCAACTCAAAATATTTTAGATTTCTTTGATCTTCAATTAATTTGACTAATCCATGATTAATTTTCATTTTTCTGTTTATAATAATTAGCCTTTGTATATTTTGACAAATACGTGCTAATCCATAAAAGTATGAAGAATCAATATATGTATCACATTTTAATTCGCAAAGTGATTCAAGTCGAGCCTTAGCTCCTGGAAAGTAAAATATTTGATGCTGAATTGATCTAATATTAATATACTTAAATTGAGAACATTTCCTCATTAAAAGATTGTAAATTTCTAGTTGTAAAAGAAATTGATTATATAATTCTGAAGTTCCTATAGAAATTATATTATTCAATATGTCTACATCTATGCTTCTGCAAAAAGATAAATAATCAAATAAAAGACGTTGGTGCAAAATGGGAGGTAAGAAGATTTCTAGTTTTATTGGAGATTCTTTAATATCATCTGACAAATAGGAAATGATAATGGAGTATAATGAATTTTTATTATTATAATTAATATTATGGCACCAAGGGTTTTTCCATAAGATTGGAATAACAGTTTCGCACCAAAGCCTATTAACCATTAGGCATGAAAAGAGAGATTTGGAATCTTTTTGTAACTCTTCAAAGATCAAAAAAAGAATATCTTTAATAAGTTTAGGCATTCTTTATTCAATAAATAAAGAAAAAACGTTTAATAATCTGTTATAACTAGAAGTCTGGAATGTAGAATTACAGAAGGACAAATAAAAAGAACAAAAACCCTTAAAATTTATGAATGAAACTAAATTTATATAATGGAACCAAACTCCGAGCCAATTTGGTTCATTCTGTGATACTAAACGTTTGTTCAAAATAATATTTCACAAAATGTTCCATTTAGGATGTTAATTACCTGATTAGTCCGAAGTGTAACGAAGGAATATATACTTGATGATGACATGTTTGATGTCCATCCGCCCTATAAAAAATTTTTCAGAAAAATGATCACGTGTCTGAGTTTCTTTGCAGAATTTTTTTTTATAGGGCCGGCACGTGATGATGTACAGCAATAAGACTTTTTCATTCAGTATTCGAATCAAATTTATTTTTTGTAAAAATTAAATGTACAATTATTGTGAGATTTATTACAGAAATTGTACAATTTTTATATTTTAAAATTGTATTATTTATTATTTTCATTTAAACAAAATTCGTATAATTTTTTCAATTCATATGAAATTTATAAATTTGTAACTTGTAGCATAAATCTGTAATTAATTTATTCATCGCTTTCGACAACTTTTGTGTAGTTGAAAAAATAATTATAATAATGATCTACAGACTTTGTAATGATTTTCGCATAGTTGAAAGAAATAATATAATTATATTGATTTTCATTTTATTTTTATCAATAATTTCACGTTAGTTAAAAAATAATTATATTGACAAAAATAATTACTAACTACTTACATACTGCCATTGCAATTCTATAATTTATCTGCTGAAAATCTTCGCATACTAAACTAATTTTCCATACTCAGAAAATTCCTGTTTATTTAATATCAAATGCATGTGTTCCGAAGAAGACCATTTCAAAAACAATTAGTAGAGAAGAAATAAAAGAACTAATAAATAAATTCATGTACTAAAATTGCAATAAAAAAAACAAATGTGATTTTGTAATAAGCAATGTGATATCAATTGTCAAACTTTAACACATGTTAATCGCATCAATCACGTCATTTATATACTAAAGCATGTGAATCGTGATCATACTGATAAGTGTAATTATTTAAATTATCCTGTACCATTTTTTTTACAATAATATTTTGTTACTGCACGTACATATTGTAAGTTTTTTTTTACTTATACAAATTTTGGATATGCTGCTATGAGCTATAGTTTCTTCATTCGATGCTTTTTACATCACAATCTTTTCATCATTTTGATCATTTTAATCTCTTTACGCTCATCTCATATTGGATATTTCAGCATAAAGATTTTTTAATATACTGTTTAAAAATTATTGACTTTTGCATTAATATCTCATATCTGATTTTTTTAGTGATCAAATTTTCAAATAAAAGATAATGTAATGTTTTAAATATTGAAATACTTTATATTAAAGTTAATTAGTTAATTTAGACAAATATGAAAAAATTATTGCTTTACAACAAAACATGATGCAGAAATCCAAATGTTATCTGACGAATGCCACTTAAGCTAGCATTTATAAAGGTTAAAAATTTTGAGTATAATTCAAAGAATATTTTACTTTGATTTGACCAAATTTTTTATATAATTATAGAGTATCATGAAAGATAATCAAGAACCAGCATCAAAAAAATCTCAGCAGTATTAGTTCATGGAATACATTTCAAACTGAATGGTTCAAAAAATAGTATGTTCTATAAATATTATTTGATTTAATTTATCAAGAAGTATTTTTTTTAGAAATTAAAGTTACTACTCCAGGAACTCAAAAACAATGTGCTGAAGAAATGCATTACTTGATAAAATCTTTTTAAAAACAGAACTGAAGAATTATCTAAAAATAGATTTAATAAGGAACCAAAATTAATAGAAAGTATAAGACTTCGCAAAGCTGAATTAAATAAACAAATTTGTGATTACCAGTTATAATATAAAATTTTATAGAATTAATTGTTAAATGTGTTTAATTTCTAGTATCGAACTTTACAAGTTACTTGTGGTGTAGAATTTTTAACACTTGTGATTCCATTAAGCGAAAAATTGAACATCTCTTATTTTGGAACTTCAGTTGGTGAAGAATATAAAACTAATGACAGTTTTTATCATTTTTCTTGTTTAAAAAAATCAGGTATAATATATTATTTTATATAAATGTCATAAAAATTAACTAACTTTTTCATATTTTGTATTAGCTAAAAATGAAATTATTAAACAAGTTACAGTACATTTCAAAAAGATATAGAGGAACTGAAAGATATAACTATGTTGGAAAATACAGATGATCAATTATCTATTATCGATAAAGAATATCCAAATAGTAAGAATACATGTGATAAAGTTAGAAAATATTTACAAGAGAAATGTAGTAAGTAATATAAATTTTATTTTTTCATTTAATTTAATAGTATTAATTTACTTATTTTTACATTTAATTTAATTTATATTTTAAATAAGTGATTATTAAAATTTTCATTTTTAAACAAAAGCAATTACAATAAAAACATTATTGGATTTTAGTTTTACTAATTAAAAGCCAAATTATACAATCAGTAGTTAGTGAAAAATTAATTGTTGAATATTGATATTTTACATTATTTTAATTTCTTGAAAACTTATTTTAAATATAAATTAAAATACTAATTTGCAAAGAATAAATAAGATTAGTTCCAAAACTTCCAAGAACTACATATATCCTTACCAAATTGTAAATTGAAAAATCCTCATTAATTTTAACTCCATTAAATCCATTTAGAATGTTTTTATATTGATAAGACATTAGCCCAATCTTTTGAATCTTTTGATTCTTATAAGGAACACATTTAGAAAGTTAATTGACCATCATTAATGAGGCATTACATCTTCTCCACTATCTGTTATTGAGCACATTATTATTTATTTTTTACCATAATGTTCTTTATTATGGTACATCTTGTCTATTTAATTCACTGAGATTAAAAAATTATAATCATCATATTTATACATAGTAATTCCTTTTAAATATCCTTCAGCTGATTTTTTACATCCTTTTGGTAATCTTTATCAACACCACACTACTATCACATTTAAATAATTCAAGAAATGAATAGCATTGGTCAGCATCTGGAAAATTGCTTATTCGATTTTCAACTTAGCTGGAATAAAGAGTCCTCCATTAATATATAAAAGGCCAAGATAGTAATCATAGTATTTTATTGATATAACTCTAGTAGAATTATTAAAATATTCATCTTTTACTAAATTTTCAAATAGTATTTATTAAGGTAAAAATATAAATATCAATGTTGTTACTTTAAAAATAATAATCATAATGTACCAGTAATAATTCTATTCTAGTAAGATCATTTTTGAGAATATAATTCTTTCTGAATTTCATGCACACGTTTAAACAATTTTTTATAAACTGTCTTTTTCTTCAATAGAAGCATTATTCCAAAAAATGCTTGTAACTTTTACCTGCATATTTATATGCAAAAAAATGATACAGTCCAGGAAGGTAACTCCGACTTGTGATTCAAAATCCATCCATCAAAAACTTTTCAAAAACGTTTGCCCATAAAACCAGTTTTTTGTTTGTTTTCTTTCTTCTTAGCAAAATGTAGAAATAATTTACTAATTATATCTTCTATTATTAAATTTCTAGAAGAATGGTCAAGGTGCCGAGTACAAAGGAATAATGCTCTTAATTCAACGTAAATGATATCTAAAGTATTCTATAATTGAGTAATTTTTGAATATGAGTAAGAGAAGCCTGATATATTTTTGCCATCATTTTGATCATTTGAATATTTAAATTCATACACCTTTTCCCAATAATCCATTCTAAAGATGAGAATAATTTTTCAATATTTCATCATTTTCATCATTACTTTTTTTTCTATACATAATATAAATTTTCAAGTGATAGAAACAAGTAATCACTCAACTATTTGGTTCACTTTCTCACAATCTTAACTTTACTGAAACTTGCGAAATCGGGACTGTGTAGTAGCTATGTAGCCGCTATATATATTATAAAAAAGTAGTAGGCGTATCGCTATTTTATATTTAACGTAGGGTATCCATATGGAGCGAATATAAAAATACTGTGAGTAATTTCGAGAGTCCATGTAACAAATACAATGCAAAAATGTAGTTTATTTAATGTAAATATATTGCAAAAATGTAGTTTATTTAATGTAAAAATATTGCAAAAATGTAGTTTATTTAATGTAAATATATTGTTTATTTAAAGTAATATTACAGTTTACTCAAAGTTATAATACAGCTTCATTGTATCAACTATCTAAATCTATATTAAATCTATTTTGTATCGATATTAATCTATACTAAAAAAAAGCTAAAAAAATCTTTTTTCTAAAGTTTCGAATTCCTTTTTTTGAAACTATACTTGGGATTTTGGTTTCCAAGCTGGAGCCAACTTCTCTACAAAAAAAGGAAATAAATTAAAAAAAACCTCTTTCTATAAAGTTTCGAATTCCTTTTTTTTCGAAACTTACCTATCTCACGCGAGCATCTAACTAAGAGTCGATTTCACCAAGATCCGTGTCTGAGCTGCCTAAAAAAAAAGGAAAAAAAGAAATTAGCAACCGTTTTTAAAAGACGAAATAAAGATGGAATAAGACAAAAAAATAATACTCCCACCAAAGTTCCTCGTCCAAAGAATTTAAGAACCGTCTAAAAAAAAAAAGAACAGTTAGAAAATGCTTGTCAAAATAAAAATCAAGAAAAAATTGCCAAACTCACCGATCACGATAAAACAAA